AAAATAAATATAATACTATAATTAATAGTTTATAATCACTTTTTTGATATTACTTTTTATCTTAAAATAGAGAGATTAAAAAAGAATATATTTTAATTGATAAAAATAGGATATTTAGAAGGTTTAATACTATTTTTAATTTATGAAGAGAAGAAGAATGAATTAAGATTTAAAATAAAAGTATTAAAGAGAAAAAAATAAAAGATAAAAAGGATTAAAATACTATCATCTTTTTCTTTTTTTAACGCCAACAAGTTACTATTAATTAAACGAATAAAAATTAATTCAAATTATTGAATATTAATCAAAACAGGAATTGCATTAGGGGTAATATAATAGTAAAAAGATGATAAAAAAAGGAACTAGACACTATGAGTTAACAGTTTTAAAGCAAATGCGGTTATTTAAACCTATTTTAATCTTAAAACCTATTTGTTGTTTTTGTTGAATTTATGTCTTCATCTTCTTTTAAAGAAGAAATTCCAGAAACTCCACGATATATTGTTAATAAGAGAAAGCTTCAAAATTATGAAACTATGCAACACGCAATATTAATTTCATTATTAAGCCCTTTTTGTGGGTTTTCAATTAAGAAACCAAGAAAAAAAGCAATAGTGAGACATTGTATGCCACGACTAAAGAGTCTTCTTTTTGAGAATGAAGAAATTGAAGTTATTAAACTTGCTGACACTCTTTGTAGACCAATTTTTGAAAATGAAGTTGAAAAAGGAATGAATAAACAAACAGCTTTTAGAAGATTTGAAAAAAACAAAAGAATATTTGTTATTAACTTACTTTATGACTTATGCTTAGAAAAAGGATATTTCTTTGATGCTAGACAATCAAGAAAAACAGAAAAAACTATTAGACTAGATAGAATTAAAAGAATCTTTTTCAAAGGAAGATATTTAATGGATTTTGATGAATTAATGGAACAAGGAGAACTTATTAATGATTATCTTAATAGAATTGTTTCAGATAAAAGAGGGGTTATTGCTCGTGCTGATAAAAAACTTATGAATTTCACTTCATTTAATTTTAAAAAGCTTACTACTTGTTAAGACAAGTAATTTTTGTAATTACAACTCCTGTTAATTATTATTTATATTTCAATTGAAAAAAAAAGTAAAATAAAATGAGGAATTTTAAATTGTAAATGTGTTATTAATTAAATAAAGGGATAATGAGAATTTCTTTAATAAAAATCCAAATATTTACAGGTTTACATAAAAACAAAAAGAATGATACTCAAAAAGAGTATTATTCTTTTTGATGATGATGTCCTTTTATTTAGATTTGGTTTTATTACACAAACACTCCCTTTTGAACAAATATAGCCTGTATTACATTTACCACAAGGAGGATGACAACCTTCTTTCCATAAATGAGTAATATTTGATTCAATAACTGAATTAGATCCATCACATTCAGCATAATCACAATCATATGAATCAACTGAACATTGTTTAAAAACAATTTCTTGTCTTGGAATAAAATAAGTATCATAAATAATGAATGATTCATCTTTCTTTATATTAAATTTAAGACTGATAAAATTAACTATATTTATAAATAATGTATTATATTTTTAATTAAATAAATAATAAAAAAATAAACAAACTATATTGTTCACATCGTTTATTTAATGCAAATAAATATGTTTTATAATAAATTGTTTCAGTATAATTTTCAACTTTTTTAAATACTGTTTGTTGACAATATTTATCTAAAAAAGAAATTACTTTATTTGACACATTCATATTTAATAATTTAATAGAATCAAGTGTTATATTTGATTTAGTTTTAATATTTAAAACAAAAGATCTAAAATGATATGTAATTTTAAAAGAAGTAGGATATTTAATACCAATAATCTGTTCATTTGATTCATCAGTTGAAATAACTTCAATAGTATTATTTATTGTTTTTGTTAATGGAATACTTAAAGAATTATTAATTTGATAAAAACTCCAAGTAAAATAGTTATCTTCATATTTGTCTTGAGTTAATACAAATTGATTTGGAACATAGTCACATTTTTCAATACTATATTTTCTTGGATATGTGTTTGAAGATGAATATATTTTTCCTTTTTCAATATTTGTAATAAAAATATTTAAAACATATTTTCCAGTTGAAATTAATCGAATTTCTGTTGAAGAATTAATAGAAAAATAAGTTTTTGGAATATGAAAATAATCGTCATAATTAGAGAATGTAAATATTGAATTTCCAATTTGCATATATTTTGTTAATAAATTAGAATTAAATGGTTGAAAAATATATTCAGAAAAAGTTTCATCAATAACAGCTATTTTAGGTTGAACAGTAAATGGACAATCAACTAATCTAATTGATATTTGTGATGCAAGTTTTGATGTATCTTGATTTTCTGTAACTAAATAACTAAATGCATCTGAATTTACTATAATACTTCTTGCTATACTACTTTTTGATATAACCGTTAAATTGGCCCAATATGAACCTGCAATCATACATGTAAAAGGTTTTAATGATGGACCAAATAATTCAAAACATTGTCCACATCTTGATATATTAGCATCACTAAAATGATTCTTCATAAAATCTTCATGAACATAACATTCTGCTCCAATTGAATGTCCTGAAACAATTTTTTTATAATTTGGAATTTTAGAAAAACATTCTTCATTCATTTTTGAATTTAATCCAAAAACTCCTTTCTTTCCAATATTATCAATCGCTCCAACTCTGTATGTAGTCTTTATTATTATTCTCTTCGTTTTCTTTCTCTTTTTTATTTTAATAAAATAAAACAAACCATACACGGGGTATAAAAGGTTTGTACTGACTGAACTAAAACAATAAAGAAAATCCACAACATTTTATTGAATCTTTAACTATAACCTCCCAGTTCTATATCTTAAAAAAAAAGAAATAAAATTCAATAATCTTTTCTAGAAGAAATTTAAATTTTTTATTTATATATTTTTTTAATACATTTTTCCAAATCAGGAAATACAGCAAATTTTATTGCCTTGACTATTGAGTAATAACGTGTATTGTAAAGAAATGAAAACAAGACATAGAAATCTAAGGTCATACAATAAAGAGAAGTGTCAATAGCAATAAATGGCATAACAATTATAATAATAAAGGTAAACGAAATAACAATGAAAAAGGGTTGTAGAAGACGAAAGACACAAAGAAAAACAAATAAGAAACAAGATAAATATAATAATAATAAAGATTACACTCATAAATATAAATGATAAACATGAAAAGATAAAGACAAGAAAGAATAAAAAGAAT